GAGGCTGATACCGGGAGACGCCGATTCGGCACCCTTTCGGACCCTCTGGGCTCTGCCCTTTTCCCGCCCCGTTGCGGGTTTTCGGGGCCCCACACTGGCGAGGCAAAAGGCGCCCAAAAGCCTGAGACTCAACTCTCAGGTGGAGGGTCCCCCGTCTTTTCCATTCACCCCCATCCCGCTTAATCTCCAGGGCTGGCTGTGTGAGATCCAGGCCGTAGTTTCTATCGGGCCACTTTGGGAGCTGTGGGCACCTGGGTCCCACAGGTGAGGGGTCCCCAAAGGGCGAGAAGCAAACCAAACCGCCGGACTGGAACCCCAGAGGTACAGACTGGCTTCTGGCGCCGGCCTGGTCAGCAGGTCCCGATCGGCCAACATTCATTAAGTTTACACACGCGGGCCGAGAAATACGGAGAGCACAGAGCTGACCCGAATTGCTGTGGAGACAAGCTCCCTCACGAGACTCACAGGCTAGCACAAGCTTTCAGAAGAGCAGCCTGACCACCTGTCCCTTCCATTCGGGCGGGTGCCTCAGGAATCACGGTGTAGGGAAAGCGCCTGGAAGCAAGGATCCTTTGACAAAGGTGCTATGGCGGCCACGGCTGCAGCACCAAAAGGCCTGGAAACCCACATATCCGCCAGCAGAGGGGACATCCACTGGGGCGTCGGCGCCCGCCCGCCCGGAGGAGCGCGCCTCTGACCAGCTACTGGCGCGTGGTGACGCTCGTGACAGAGGCAAGCTGCTGGGTAACGCGCGCATCACATCCATTTCTGTAAAAGCTAACGACACGCTTACCACCCTAGTCCTGACCGTACGTTGTGCGTGTTTGTGCGCAAATGGAGAAAGGGGTACAAGACACACCAGGGCCAGGATCTCTGGGCAGCAGGGAGGTGCAGAGAAAGGACAGTTAACTCTCTTCCATCCTGTCTCACAGGTTGCAGTGAGCCTGTTTTACATTTTGGACGTACATAACGGCTGGTGCCATCAACCCCCGGCCGGCTGTCACACTGGTGGAAAGGATGAGGCCCTGCTCTGAGGGACTCCCAGCCACAAGTGACACTAGGCCCCAAGCATACGGTGACCCCTTCAAGTTCAGGTATGGGGCCCCAGGGACCATCCCAGGAGCGGGGCCATGGCCTGCACGATGCCAGGAGGCACTGTCCACACGCCGGAACCTGCAGGAAGGGTACAGGCTGTGCAACACCCAGGGGGACTGAGCTCCAGGGAACTTGGCCCCATCAGACCAGCCTGCTGGGCTCTTGACCCCAACCCAGACTTTACCCTGATGGTGGGGGGTACAGTGGGGGAGGGGGGAGACTGAGAGACTGGCCCTGCAGGGAGGCAGGAAGGGGAGGGCGTGGGCGTGCACTGCTCCCCATCAACCCCACCATCCTTGAGGGCTCTGGGCAAGTCTCTGTGATTCCAGATGTTCAGCAGCTGTCTTGGCCATTTCCGCCCCTTCTTTGACCCCGCATCCGCCAGGAAGCGTCCCCTCCTGTCCTCAGGCTCTGAGCCCCCCCCACCTTCCCTGCACCCCATTTCCTGAGCAGAGGCCTTTGTGCAGACTCAGCTCCCTATCCCGCCAGGGTGGCTTCAGTTTTCCCAAGGCCCGGGCTCTGCTCCCGGAGCCCTGGGCTGCTGTGGTCAGCTCACAACTGGCTGGACACCCTCTGCCAGGGTGTCCCAGCCCCCACCCCGGCAGCCTCTGGGACTGGTTTTTTCTCTCTTCCTCCATTCTTTCTCCAAGGTTGGCTCTGTCTGCTCCCGCGGCATAAATCAGGGCCTCCAGGGAGGCAGAGCAGAACTGTCCGGGAGGGAGCACTGCCTCGGTGGGGGAGGGTGGAAAGCTCTGTAGGGTGAAGGCCAGAGGTCATAGAGCCCAGCAGGCTCTGTGGGGGTGGGGTGTGTGCTCAGATGTCTGCCTGGAAGACCCTGGGGGTGAGGAGGGGGGTGCCTCCTAGAACTGAGAACTGATCCTTAGGGGTCACAGTCCCACCTTCCCCGAGCAGATGGGAGGGGAGGGGGAGGTTCTTCTGGAGAGGGGACAGCAGGAGGAGGTCTCCCTTCCTGTCACATGCTTTCCTGTCTCAACAGAGCTGGTGGTTCTGGGGCACTTGGGCTCCCAGGGGCTGGGGGGCAGGGCTGGTGGGGTCAGGGGCCAGGCCAGGCACAGTGTAAGAGCCCTAAGGGGCCAAGAGCTCCAGCCTACTGACCTTTGCCCCTCAGAAGCCAGCCTCTGCTCCCCTCCACCACCGCCACCTCCCCCTCCGGCTTTCCTGCTCTTCTGGAGTTGCGGGGGGGAGCCAAGGGCAGGTGGGGCCTGGCTGAGGCAAAGTCTGTGCTTCCAAGTACAAGTCTCAGAGCTCACCAAGCTGAGACACTGTCCCCAGGAGAACAGGCTCCTTCCCGCAAGCCCGATTTTTCCCTGGGCAATCAAATCAAATGTGGGTATATCTCACATACTCTGAGGACAGTCCTCCAGGACACTCTCGATGCACCCCTGTGTTTGCCTGGATTCAGGCTGAGGACACAATGAGGCCATCTACTCTGCTGTTGAGGGTCACTCCTGCGGTCTCACAAAATGAGCCTGGAGCCTCTGGGTCTGCGCGCCCCCCACCCCCAGGATAAACAGCATCTGAGGTTACAAATGAGGTTCCTGGAAAAGTAAATGCCCCCACTCTCCCCCAAAATTTCCACCACCACTTCTAAACAGAGGGCCAGGGTGGACATTTCAGGACCAGGCCCACCAACCCCCATGGGCAACAGCTATGCCCATTCCTTGACCCCAGGTGCGGTACCCTGTGGGCTCCTTCCTGGGGCAGTCTCCCAGCTGCCCCCTGCGGCTGCCACCCGGGACCGAAGGAAGAGGTGGGGTTGCAGAGTAGAGAGAGCAAGAGGGGCCCCTTGTCCAGGCGCACCAGGGGGCCCTGAGACACCCTCTTGGTCCTCAGGACCTGATCAATGAGCAGAGCAGCCCAACCTGGGATATGAGCTGGATAGTCAGGAAACTCTGGATCTCACCGGGTTGGGGGGAGGGGCACCAGGGGTAGAATAGCCAGGTTTAGCAAAAAATAACAAACAAACCTAAAAGCAGGATATCCAATTAGAGCTGAATTTCTGCGAAACAATTTTTTAAATAGAAATAAGCCACATGCAGTATCAGCACGCACTTATACTCAAAAAGTATTTATCGTTTACCTGAAATTCAAATTTAACTAGATGTTCTGTATTTTACCCGGAAACCCCCAATTCAGCCCTCCCAATTCCCTCACTCAGTTTTCTTCCCAACCCTAAGGACCCCAACAGTCTTTATCGCTGCTTCCCTAACCTGGTGGGAGCTGACTGGGCTAGCAGTGGGCCCAGATACACAGGGCAGGAGAGCAGAGAAGGCTTGTCGGAGCCTGGAACCCCCTTCCCAGAACGCTGGGGTCCCTGAGGCAGGTCTGCCTCCCGGGCTCCAAGTGTCTGCCTGGGTTTGCCAGATTCCCTGTTGAGTGGGCCCTCAGAGCCTGGTTTTAATCCTGCCCCCTCTGCGCTTAGGTGGGCTGGCCCTCTCCGGCGCAGGAGGAAAAGCAGAACCCGCCAGAGCCCTCCCGAAAAGAGGAAGGTACAGCTTGCAGGGTGGTTTGAGTGGGGAGTGGGGAGTGGGGAGGTGGCTTGGCCAGGGGCTGAAAATGAGGAACGCTGGCCAGGGCGGACCTACCTGGAGGTCACTGCCTCTGCTGGCACCAGTGGAAACAGGATCCAGAACAGGTGGGGGGTTTCCAGCCTGGGCTCACCCCGTTTCCTGAGAAGGAAGGTGTGAAGGGGAGGACAGGGCCCGGGCTGCTCCAGAAGCCCCACGGGGCTGACTCTGCGCTCCCCTAGGGTGACAACCCCAGCTGGATTTCCCGGGCTGCCCCGCCTCGCACAGGGAGGTCTGGGGGCGCGGTTACCTGGCACAAGCCTGGGCAGGGAACTGCCACCCCCAGACTTCTTCAGGAGGCTCTCTTGTCTTTGCAAACTGTCACACAGCCTGGTCACCAGAGCTGCTTCTTCGGGTTGCTGCCCCCCCTCCCCACCAATGTGGGTACCTCACGACGTGGGAAAGGGAGCCACAGCCACCTTAGTTCAGGGCCACGGGAAGCCCCGCGTCATTTGTCTCACTGAGATCCCTCTGGGGGGGGGGCGCCCCCCCCCGGTCTTCCGCTCCTGACTAGGACGAGGTTAAGGCTGTCCATCTCCAGTCTGTCTGTCCGCTTTCGGTTAAGGAGGGCGGTGGATGCTGCTCCAGGTGTGAGGGAAGGCAGGTGAACTCGGCCTGGAGAGGGTGCAGGCCGAGGAAGGTCTGGGGAGGATGTGGTCGCCGCAGGGTTGCAGGGTCCGAAGCCTGAGGTCCCGGGGGCGGGGCAGAACTCGAGACCCACCCCCCACCCCCTGCGCGCCCCTGCCCTGGAACCCTTTGTGCGCCCATCACAGGGTGTCGCCTCTTTCCCCAGCGACAATGACTCATAAAGCTGGTCCGCGCCGCCGCCTCCTCTCTCCCTGAAAGGCCCAGGTCATAAAGGCCATTGGGGCCGAGCCCTGAGGAGGCACGTCCCAACACAGCCCCGCGCTGCGC